AATTTTAATTATTAAAATTAAAAAATAAATAATTAAAATTTTATATAAATATAATAGATAAGTAAATCTCCATCCTATTGAAATAGATAAAAGTTTTTTATTACAAGAATGCCCTCGCAGATCATTTAAATTGGGTTGATTCGGTGGGGAGATGAAAGTAAATTCCAAATTCCTGTTAAGACAAGAAAACGTGGTTGCGAATGCGTGGTTGCGTCTGCCTTCTTGAGCAGAATTGCCTGCTGCGAAGATAGGCCTGTAACGAGGACTGAAATACCTGGCAACCCAACAAACAACACCCATTCCCATATAATTTTTTTTCCTTTTAAAATTCATAAATTAATAATTTCCACCGACAGTAGAAGTTAAGGAAAAAGATTTATTACGCAGTTTATTCCTTTTTTTTTTTATTTAAAAAATTACTGTACATGGCATTCCCGTAATATTGATGTGACATACGGTCATTTTGTTAATAACAATATAAACTAATTTTTTTTTTTTTTTAAAAAAAAAGGAAAATGGAGGGGAAATAACAAGTGAGATAAGGTCCATTGTCAGAACGCTTTATTCCTAACCGCAACCAACGGTCTCCGCCGGGAAAGAGATGGAAATCTCTTTTTCTTTTTCTTTTTTTTGTCCTTTTCTTTATTATTATTATTTTTTGGGTTCCTTTTTAAGTTCTTACAATAAATTTTCGATGACGTAACAAGTTAATCAAGGTAAGTATTTTTTTTTATTTATTTAATAAAAAAGTTACATGTCACTTTTTGGACTCTAAATTTTAAATTTTAAATATTTTTTTATTTTTAAATTATTTAAAGTAATTTTTAGTTTTTTAATCTTAAAAAATATATTATTTTTTTATCCATCTTTCAATTAAGTAGTAATGTGGCCATTAACTCATTTAAAAATTTATCTTCCTTCAATTTTTTAATCACATACCCATAATAAATGAGTTTCATTAGAAATAATTTTGGACTCCTTAAATCTACTATAAATTAATTTAACAACGCCTCATTATCATATCATAAAAAAAGTGTTATTTTAAATTGACTTAATGATCATGCCATTCTTAATTGACGAAATTAGAGAAAGAAGTATTTTTTTTGAAGTTGAACAAAAAGAAAAAGTGCTTAAAATTATTTGAAGACCCAAGGTATTTAAAATTAAAAATTGAAAAACTAAAATGGCCATGCATCGTACTGTATCTCCCTTTCCTCGGACTGGTCATCCGTTTCATCATTTCTTTCAGGCTCGAATGGCTCTGGGATAACGAAGCCCCTTAACCGATTTGCTCGCCATTCGGGATATCCCGGGGTAGTTATATCGGTATATGCCCCAGCAGCCACACGATGGATGTTTTTCCAGGCCTCACATACAGAAAAAATGCGGTCGCTGGTCCCTGGAATTCCATATTCAAACCCAAATGTGTCAAGCTTGGATATCACTGGCATGAATTGTAAAGATCCAGTCTGCCTTCTAACCAAAGCAGGTGCATAGGCAGTTGCTCCCCACAAGCCTAACAAGGGTACCCATGGGTAGTTCCCACAACGGTATAGCAATGGGGGATGATCCATCCATGGGGCCTTCCATATCACATTTGTTGCAGTCACCCTTCGCAGGTTCTCCATCCAGGCATGTTCCGAGATTGGTCTGGGCCATGTACTCATATTGAATTCTTCTATGGGGAACCTATCTCCAACATTAGGATCCTTGAATTCACTGTGGAGGCACTCGAAATGGCTTTTCAGCCATATTGTTAGCAATTGAGCACATCCTGTGAACCTCCCTTGCCCATTGATTCTGCAGTGATTCAACGACCGGAAAGTTTCAGCCAGTATAACTGGGATGGGGTTAGCGTTGTCCAACAATTGATCAAACAGGTTGACAATTTTTCTATCAACATATCCCGAAGCCTTGGGGAACAATACCAATCCATAGATTGCTAGAGCAAAGGCATTCAAAGTAACTGGCTTGTCAGGATTTCCAAGAATGAAGTCTCGCAGTCCATACCATGGTATTCCTTCATTTTCCCCGTTCTTTGTAATCAAACCTTCAAGTTCTTGAACCTGGATGCCCATGATCTTTGCTAATTTTCTCTTAAATTCATAGCAAGCATCATGCTTATTATATATTTTTCCTGATGTTGCACTTGCGATTCTAAGCAGGGCTGCATATTCTTCAAGAGTAGGAGTCATATCAACTTCACCAAATACAAAGACACGGTACCTGGGATCCCAAAAGTGTATTGCTGCCTTAAGCATTGCTTCATCTATTGTAGTAAATAGAAGGAGTCCTATGTGCCCAAACTTTCGATCGAATTCGCGGCGACGCTCGGTAGACCATCCGTGATATATATCTTTCAATTCCTCCAAGTTATTTTGAGTCAAGCTAAGATGCACCCTTTTCGGCAGCTGAGTCATTCTTTTCTCTAGGTGATCATTTCTTGCACTACTTTCTGACTCTTCTATGACAGTCCGCTGGGGTTTAATTACAATGCCGGCCTCCGACAGCACCGCCAGGAACGGTTGCCGGCTCACCACCTCATCCTCACCGGAAGCCACATAATTATTATAGTCCAGTGACTCATCAATGTAAATATCCCACCATTTGTTCACCAACATCTTGATATCTTCCCTGTCCATGTTCTGTTCTATTCCAGTGAACCTCCACGGCTTGGACCCGGCGGCGGAGTAGTGCACCATCTTCACTTTCTCCAGCTCAATGTTCTCCGGATGCCACCATAGCATCGCCAAAACCAGGTTGTAAATCGGTGGAATTGGCTCGTAAATTTCCCTGAAGAACATATTCAAGAAGTCCTGTTCGGCGAAAGGAGTGGGAGGGGTGATCTTGAGCTTCCTCAAGAGTTCATCATAGACGGAGAGGCTAGGCTCAAAAACGAACATGCCGGCGTTGAAGTAGAGAGGAGGCTTGGGACCCAACTCTGCCGGCCACTGAACCTTGTCCGGACACTGCTGGCAGTATCCGATCCTGTACTGAGGAGTGTGGCTCCATGTCTTCTCACAGAAACAGTCCATCACGGCTAGAACTACCCGTTCGGCATGTCAAACAGGTGATCGATGTTCTCAAACACCTGAATATCACCATCCAAGTATACCACCTTACTGTACTCCACAAACTGCAAATTTTCCACACAACCAAACACACCTGAGTGTCAAATAACAAAAATACCCCTCACATGAACATATATAAATATGAATCGGTCAAATTACTATTTACTTACGTTCCATACACGAAGCTTGGAGTAATTGATGACATAGTAGGCCATGGCAAACTGGGTCTGGTTCTCCGGCGGGTACACTGGTTCAATTTCCTTGACAATGCACCCTTGCTCCACCAGAATCTTCCGGTGATCCTCAGGAACGCCCGGCAAGATGGCCACCACAAGTGGGTACTTGCTCTTGACCTTCCTCAAGCCCTTGGCCAAACCCACCACGCCCTCAACATAGTCACCGTTCCCGGCCAAGAAAGTGACATAAGCCCTCCTAGGAAGACTTGCTGCCTTGGCCAGACTGGGGACGGTGGTATTGGTGGTGGTGATGTTAAGAGCCATATTTTGATTTATGTGAGGGGTTGAGAGTGAGTGTTTCTTAGGATTTGGAAGGAAAAGGAGAGAAGATGATTGCTTGGCTGAAGAGAAAACTTTGTGTTTTGAGATAACGGGAGTGAAAGAGGATGGGGTGGGGATATTTATACAGTTAAAGTATTATTCCTCCACTTGCCCCGAAATCACGCCGGCTACGTGCCGTTAAAGACAACGTTACAACTGGTGGATTCAAATTGATCACTTCCACGATTATCGATCGATGCATTTTCGTTTTTGTGGACTTCACTCATGCTATCGCGGGAACAAGTGCACAGGGGAGGAAGGTGGGGGTGGGTGGGATGTTAATTTTAAGTTTAACATTTGAGAAGAACATTTGCAATTTAAAAAACGACCGGCGAACAATTATTAGTCTTTTTCTATCACAAAATAAGGCATTTCTTGTCTTTTTACTCCTCCCTTTTGGACCTTTCCGCAATGTGAAAAAGAAAATCCCCACTAGACTATGGCAGCAATGTGATAGGAGAAAGTGACAGTGTGGGTTCTTAAAGCAAGTCTGAATCCAAGTTCAACCGCCATGGTTATTGGTTAAGAACTGAAGCAGTTTTAATAAAATAAAAAATTCTTTATTTCCCGTTTCATTTTCCGTGCTCCTTCTCCCCTGTCTACCTTTTCCCATTTTATTACCACACGTATGTTTAATAGGTGTGGATACATACAATTTTAACAAGTGAAGTCCTTGCCCCGCTACGCGGGCATATTAACGTCTTGAGCATTAAGTTTTAAAATGATAATAGTTTTACGCAATTATTTTGAAAATGTTTTAATAATTTACATAATTTTTTTATATTAATTATTAGTGTATCTTTTATGTATTAATATTTTAAACAGTATTGTGTGAAGTGTGAAGTAATTGCAAGTCAATTTGAATAAAGAGATATGAACATAATTAATTAAAGTATAGATTACAGAATAAGATAAGAGTAAAATAATTGTAGAATTTATAAGTGTAATTCATATGATAACATTAATTGTAATAGTAATTTAATTGATCGTGACTCTATTTGGTAAATTGAAAGTGTTCTAGTACTGATAATGTTAGTCATTATGTGTTTGATATGCTAGATTCACCCGTATACTTAATTCTTTTCACCATCTTGTCTCCAATTTCACTAATCGTAATAGTTTTATTACTATCGGACATCAAATCCTTTGATTTTAACTTTGCAATTATAACAATATATAAATAGAATTCACAAAAAAAAAAATAAAAAAATAGAGCAACAAAGTTAGAGATTGGGTAGCAATTCTTTTGCATGGTGAACGTCACGTGCCCTCTTTACAATGCTTAAATGAAGATTTGCATGCCTTTTTTTTCCTTCTTACCCATACGAGTGATTATAAATTAATAAAAAAATGAGAAGAAAACTCAAAATTTTAAGCAAGATAGTTCTCAATCAATTTATTTTTTTATGTTAATTTCTCAATCTATTTAAAAAATATTTAAATAAAACAATATATAGACTACTATTTAGGTATGTTAATAAATTGTCATAGTTGAAATAAACTCTTATTTATAGGCCTTGCTTTTGTTTCCTTGATCATTTGATGAAAGCCAGCCCAATGAGATTCAACGACACACACATTCTCTAGACTTGTCCTGATGCTCCCAATCCACCCACAGGAGAGAAGTACACGAACATGCGGGAGTGGCATTTTTTGGAATTCAAAGTTGCCTACAACCGAAAGCGTTGTTAGTAAAAGGTAAGCATATATGCATCATCAACAATTGTGTACACTATCATGTATAAACTGTTTAAATTATTTTGGTTTAGGTGATTAAAATGGTTCTATAAGTGAGAGTTGAAATGCAAACATGGTGTTAAAAAAAATAATTGATCTCTATGTGTAAGACTGTATTTGTAAGTAGCGAGACGTTTTTATGCAAGTAATGGAAAAACCTATGTTATCATTGTAATTAAAACAAATTGACCATAAAAATATAGGAGCATTCACAACTATTTTAGAATGTTAATATTTTGACTAAAACAAAAAAATTACTTGGTACCAAAATGGGATCATCATGAGAATGATACCTGCAAAAGTTGGTGGACTTGTTTAATGGGCCTCTTGCCAAAAGCATCATCACTGCCATCAGCACCACCTCTACCACCTGCCTTGCCTTCCTTTTTTATCACTTGGTTTCATTGAATCCATTAAGCGGACTATCCAAACACCTGATAATAATTGTCAAAAACATGAACTACCATGTGATATTTACATAGAAAACAGATATATAAAAGTTACATGGTTATGTATTCATACATGGTGTACATTAGTAACTGTTAATACAATTCTAGCTTATAATACAATTCTAACTTATAAAGTAAATCAGTTATGATAACTTATTTTAGGGTAAGTCTTCTTTACTCATATATTTTCATAAAACCACCATAGAGGAAAAATTGACTTTTTCCTATTTTTTCTTTTTCAGTTACCGCTATGTTTTCTTCCTACAATAGTGACACAATTGAGATAATTAAATCAAGTTAAGAAAAAATGTAAAAAAATTCAAACAGCTCATAAACACTCAGCAGCTCTTTGGCCCTTGAACGGGTTCACCTACTAATGTCTATGAATAACAAATTTCTTGTTTGGAAAAAGTAATAAATACACTATCTTCACCAGTTGCTTTGTCCTTACTCATTGGCATATTCTTCCTCAAATTATCTATGACACATACTATTAATTTATGAGAAAATCAACCATCAACCCATATGGCTTGGTGGTAGAATTACCTGTATACTCTTAATCACAAGTCTAAAGTTTAATCTTTAGTCTTTACATATGAGGGAAAAAAAAATAATGAAGACATAGAAATCCACAAACTTATCAATACTACAATATCTTCTTAGAAACAAAATCAAATTAGTAACTGATGGAAATCTAGAAATCAAATGCAAATGAAAAAGAAAAAAAAAACCATAATTATTGTATGTTAAGCAAAATCAGCACAAAATTCATGGAACTTCTCCTTGAGAGTCTGATATATGAAGCAAATTAGAGGAAACATTAAAAGGGAATGCAAATTATTCTCATTAGGCTTAAACCCTATTATGAGCTACAGATTCCCTAGACTTTCTGAATTTACTAAAAGTGGAAAGAGAAAACTTGTAAATATAACAATAAAATAATAATAATAATAAAAAACAGGGAAGATTAGTCTCATATGATAACTAAATAGGAACACGTAGTGGAAAAGTCACGGTAGATGTTTTAGGTTATACTTTCCAATGAGAAGTTTTTATTCATCTTTTACTTAACAAAATAAAACCCCTTTTCCTACAAAAAGCTTTTGGCATAACCACAAACATTTACATCATTTACATTA